TTGTGATCCTGCTCAGGTGAGTGCCCAGTCCTGACCTAACACTGCTCCTGAACATTCTGTGCATAAACCAGACTTGCATTGCCTTTGCAGTGTAAAAAACATGCTGCTGAATCGTTTCATTCACCACAATGCTCTGACTTGCTCAAAAGACCCACCAGGAGCTCAGAGAACCTGACTTGAATCAAAGTTAGCTCAGAAATGGAAAAGATTTGGGTTGGGAGGGACCCTAAAGATTATCTGGACAGGGAGCCTACACTACTGTGCAGACACATCTGTACCAAAGCTCTGCTCTGGGCAGGTGGCCAACAATTCCCCTCAAAACAGGCTGCTTAGAAAGAGAAACTGGATTTGGGATTTTTTTCAGGCTAGAAAATCCTCATGAGTTTGTATTCGGTGAAACTTCAATTTGCTTGGCCATTTCTGAAATTAATGTGAGGTAGAAATGTGTTGCTCTACCTGACTCCCAAATCTCAGGGCAGTTTTGCTGACAGCACTAAGCCATGCAGTTAAACAAATCACAGCTGAGAACTTCTCTCCTGATCTCCTGAAGGTGTCCTGTCCTGGCTGACCTGGATATGGTTGGAATTGCTAAACAATACACCCAGCTGGACCTCCCAGCTTTTGCCCTGGGGTGCCTTTTGGTCATGCCTCACTCTGAAGGGAGAGAGCAGCAAATTCAGGTAAATCAGAAGTTTTGTGTCTCTGCAAGGAAAATGTCCTTAAGCGTGTCCTGCTCATCAGAGCAGATTAAAGGCAAATTCCAGTTAACTTCAACACATCCCTGCTGATAAATGCTCAACATTTGCCACCCTCAAAGGCTTCTACAGGGATCATGTGAACACTTCCTCTTCTTTTTTACTTTAAAAGTTCAGTCATCCCCAGTAGCTTTGTCATCTGACTTTGCCTTTAGAGAATTTGAGGATGTTTTATGGGATCCCACACATAAAACTAATGGGGTTAAAAACAGAACAGTAAAAGCCAAGCCAGAGCAGATTGTAAGAAAAGTACTGAATCCTACACTGGAAGGGTGCAGAGTTGAAAGCTCCTGACTTCCAAGGAAGATGTCTGATATGCATAAATTGTGATAGAAACCTTCTGCCTTAAAGCCATATCCTCACCATCCTTGACATTTTCCTGTCTCTTCTCATTTGCTTCCATAATTTCTGCTCTGCATTGTTCTCCCAGATGAAGCATTAGAGGCTGTTTTCATATTTGTCACCAGCAAAATGGGACCAGTAAAGGTACCTTAAATTCTTAGACTTCCAGTCATGAAAGTTTCACTCAGAAAGAGGTCCCCAAATCACAGTTCAAGTGTAAGACACTCGGCCTGCTGGCAATGAGTCAAAAAATCCTGTGACAGCTACAGCAAAACACCATTTGAGAACTAAAAACAACACTTCCAGTGCAAGCACACAGATCCTGGTTTGATAAATTTGTGCTTACACACAGAATTTCTAAAAGATTTCTGAATAAATCAAATACTTTTTCTGAAGGGAGAGTTCCTGCTTTAATCAATCACAGAATAATAATGTTTTGTAACTTATTTTCACAAGGGTTTATTATCAACCTGTAAGAAAGAAACTGTGCTGCAACAATTGGATGAACACATGGACACTGGAGAATTGGTAGCATTTGCTTCCCAGGTAAATAAATAAAATTTACTTCACTTCCCTTTGGCTTGGATATCAACTTTTCTGATAGCTAAGTGTTTGCAGGACCTTCTTCTATTCTCTCCTCTGATCTTGTCCAGCCTTACTTGACATAATGTTCAAAAAATGTAAAATACATTTTTATTTATGTTGTGCAGCTGAAAAACTTGTACATAGCCCTGTGTTCAGGGCTGTCCCTGTTTGGAGGGCAGCAGAACCACATTCTTTTTTTAATAAGTACTTGAAGCTAAAAGGGTTTAAGAAACTGTGCTTTTGTCTTGCCTTGAGCTGCCTCCCTATGGGCAAGTTTAACTCGCTTCTCTCTCTGAATCTGGGATCAGTTTTCATAAAATCTGCCATTTCACAGCACTTAAAAAATTATTATTTTAAAAATAAGAAGCCTATTCTCTATAGAGTCCAATATGAAAACCATGAGCTCCTTCCATTCAAAACTAAAATCTCTTTTGTCTAAAATATTAACATTTTTCATTACTAAAACTTAAATCTATAGATCAGCTCTTTGGTTTTGGACAGTATCATCAATGAGAAGCTATATGAACAGTTCTGGAAAAGCAAATATTATCCACTGTTAAAGCAACACCTGATAAACACCCACAGAATAAAAGAGCTGGTGGATTATTTCGTCAAAAATAACTGGTAAGTTAATAAATGGTAAAAATCCAGGTGTAACCGGTAGCAATTACAGAAATGAAATCTCACTTTTATTTTATTTTCTTCTATTTGAAGTCATGGAGGTTTTCTAATACTTAGTCTTCAAGGATTTTTAAAGTATTGTTAGGTTAATAAAGAAATAAATTGCACCTCACTAGGATAGAGTTTTACAGCCATTCAAGAACAAGTAACAGATTGTTAAGCCTGGACAAGCATCAGATCAAATGGAGTTAAAATGAAGCAACCAGAGTGAAGTAATCACAACTTTGACTTTACCTTTAGGTGGATCCAGCTCAGGGGCATCAGAGTCACAGCTTCAGCAGTAAGAATGCTCAGAAAAAAAATAAATGAGCTGCCTGTACTGAAGACTTGAGAACTGGTGGTTTTGCCATGAGGTTTTCAAGAATTCAAAGCACCTCTTGTGCTGCCCTTAAATCACAAACAGAGCTGGGTTGGGCCCTATTCACCTGTGGCTGTCTCACAGCACCTGGGCTCTTCTCACACCTGGGCATACTCAGAGCCCAAACCCTGGGGGTTGCAGGGCACTGTTACCACTTTTCCCACACTCAGACTAGGACAGGAACCAATAAACATTTACATTCTATATTTATTCGTTTTATTAACAGTCCCAGGGAAAAAGCCAGGCTTGTTTTCTCTACTGGGAAATGACAGGGCCCATCTGACTTCAAAGCTATGGGATCATACTTTGGCTTTTTTGCCTCTGTTGCCTAAATTGGTTGCTTTTTAAAGAGCTTCATTTGACAAAGTTGATCAACTTTTGCTTCTTACAGCCTTGACGATGCAAGAGCCCTGATTCAAGAGTATCAAGAGAAATGTGGAAACCCTGCTCTGGCAGACGTCTCTGCCTCTCATCTTCTGCAGGTAAAACAAACCATTTCTGCACCTCAGGCAATATTTTCTCCTTTTTATCTAAAGACTTTCACCCAACTTCTTGCAAAAATACATTTTAGCTGATCTACTTTAGTAACATGTATATAATAAAATATCCCTTCATTAATTCAAATAACTCATTGTACCTGAACCAAGGCTGTGCCATGCTAAGCATCACTTCCAAGGACTTTCCCAGGTCCTGGATCACATCCCATTTTCCTAAGCCCTATTGATGTTGTTCTTTCACCTTCCAGATGTACCTGAATGGATCAAAGGGGTCTTGTGTCCTGGAAGTGCCATAAATTAGGTCAAGATTTACCCTTTTCCCTTCTCCCTCTCCTGGCAGGAGCGGGGGCTGTGCATTCAGAACTCTTGTACTGCTCAAGAGATCATCAGATTAAAACTCCAAAGCTTTCACCAAGAGCATCCACAACCTCTCCACATTTTTCCAGCTGTTCTAGGCTGCTTCTCCATTCTCCACCCCCACAGAAACAGTTCAGACTGACAGCAGAATTTCCTGTTTGTCATCAGTTCATACTCAGCACTTTAACTTTGGGAAGGAGCAAAGTTTATTTCCTATACTTCAGTATTTCCCCATCTTCAGGCCTGCTGTCAGGACCACTCTGAGATGTCATCCACAGCAAGAGAACCTTGTTATCACTGTGATAAACTTTTATAAAGCTGCAGGGGGTGTGGTTCATGTAAAATATTTTGTAGACAAATTGTAAGTGTACCTTTGCAAACTTATGTATCAATTTAGGCCTGACAGTAAAAGTAAATAAGGAAATAAACTTATGCATCAATTCTGGCATTTCAGTAAAAACAAACTTGTGTGTCAATTTTGGCCTTACAGTATAAATTAAAAAGAAATAAACTTATATATCTCCATTTTGGCCCCTTACAATATTCTATAAACCTCTTGATTGTGAGTTTGTCAATAAATTGATGTTCCAGTTAATAGAATTCCCTGAGTATCATGTGACAAGGTTTTCTGTTCAACTTTGCTTTGACTGCATGAAGTACAATTAGCCAGAGGTTCTTGAGACACCAGCCTGAGATATCTTTTTTTCCAGGGCAAAGCAGGTTTATTTTGAATAGAAATTAGTTACTTAGTCAGCTCATGACACAGAAATAAGAGTTCCAGCTGATGGAAAAGTCATAATCCAGAGATCAAGGAAACTGGCCCCCATTCTAAACATTCTGCTGTGGGAGGCAAAAGATAAAAATCTGTTCTGTTGGAAAGTTACAGCAGTTGTGAGAAAGGGGAGCTGTTAAATACATTCAGGTCCCTGCAGCTGTGGGACCAGAGGAGCCACAAGGTGCTGTTTCTTCAACAACCCATATTTATCTTTAGCAGCTTTAAAAACCACATGGAATTACACCATTGAGAGCCTCTGTGCATGGAGCAAAGTGCACAGAAAATGGAGTGTCAGATGTGAGCCACAAGTAAAGGAAAACCTCTCCTCACTGGTTATAGACTTCATGAGATCATCATCCATGAAAGCAGAGGGAGATTTGAAACTGCTCTGATCAGAGAAAGACTCAAACTTTCTACAGTGAAATTACGAGGTAACTGTAATCCTTTCAGAGTCTAGCAAGTCATTTTACTCCTTTAACTTAGTTGGGAATCTTAAATTGAGAAAATTAAATATAAACTGGACTCTGGAGCAAACCCAGCCTGTTCCTAGAGCCCTCAAACTCTGTTCAATCCCAGTGCAAGCATCCCTTAAAGGTGAACACCAAACCACCACAACTGCTGCATTCTTCCCCAACGTCACCTCAGCCAGCTCAGCTTTTCTATGAAGTGGAGTTTATTACAACATTAAGGAACAGTATTTAGACATTTATCTTAATGGAATATTTTACAAATCAATTCATACAGAGAAAAGCAAACACAAGGTTGTTTAAATTCATGACAAGTTACATTGTTAAGCTGTTAGCAACAGTGCAGGGCTGTAAACGAGCAATCAAGTTTTGGAACTTGCAGCTCAGAAGGAGATGGTAAAAATACCAGACAAGCAAAAATATTTTTTAGGATTTCTTGTACTCGATTCTTTCTACCTTCACATCATCTCCAATTAGTTGATAGACATATGTAACTACTGTAGAAGCCTGGATGTCCATCAGCACAAATGAAGGAATGATGTTGCTGAAAAGAGAGGAAAAAACTCATATGATTGTGTGTCTATAACCCCCTTAGTGTTTCACCACTATTTAGCAGAAATCATTTCAAGAAAAATGGGAATTAATTCTGTAAGTGCAGCACATGAGATCTGAGGCTGTGAGCATTTCATGTCTCAGTCCAGATTAAGCAAGTAAAGCTGTCTAAGTTATACAACTCTAAGTATCCTCTTCCTGACATGTAAATCAGAAATATTAGCCCTCACAAGTTTGTAGTTCAGTTTTGTAACAAAAAAAAAAAAAAAATTTGCCCCCAATATTCACTTACTTCTCTAAGGCATGGTAGGCTCCTGTAGCTGATCCTGGATTGATATAGAATTTATTTTCATGTTCAAATGCCTCAAATTTGTGTGTGTGTCCTGAAATGAGGATGTCCACATCAAACTGCCTCTGGAGCAGTGCCAGGCTGGCCATGTCACCCCAGGGGATCACCTGATGGCCGTGAATCAGCCCAATTTTGAACTGTCCAACAGTCACAACTTTCTGCTCAGGATAATTCAGGTTCTAAAAATTAAAGAAAAGAACAAACAAACTCGGATTAGACAGATTTATATTCAAACCCACCCCTATGCAACACCAAGAAGGGGAGAGCTCAGGAACTCATTTCACCACTTTTACTTGAATGAACTCCAAAGGTAAAAAATGTAAAATATACCCCCAAAAAAAACAGACACTACCTCATCAAAGTCCCCTCTGACAACATGAACATCCCCAGCCAGGGTCTTGAGGTAGTCATAGGTGTCCTTGGTGCAGAGGTTCCCTGTGCACAGGATGTGTTGGATCTTGCCAGGCACCAGCAGCTTTTTGAACTTGGCCGGGAGGCTGTTGCAGCGATGGGGGATGTGGAGGTCTCCCAGCACCAACACCAACTTCAGGGGCAGGAGGGGAGAGAGGGTGACAGACAAGGGTTAGGGCACAGCCAGCACTGCAGTGTCCTCTGCACAGACACCACTTTGAATTTGGATCCAAAAGGTGTTAAAATAACGATGGAATGGTGATGGAATTTTGCTCTGTTCCATGGGAAATTATTGTCTTTGCCAGACCATGAGCAGAGGGAGCTTTACAAACACAGGTCTGCAGAATTATTTGTGTTTTGTTGCCAACAGTGCAAAATAACACATTCCTGTTGTACTACCTGATGTATTTTACACAAATTTGGGAGCTACCATAAACTATCCCACTGTTTTTTCTCTCTAACACATTTCAAGCACAGACCTGGCTAAACTGCAGCCACTTCTCTTAAAAAAACTCTTCATCCAAGTTTCTCTCACCTTATTAAAAAAATAAAAACAAAAAATATTTTTAAAAAGCAGCAAATCTGCAACATGTGTTAATAGCTGACCAGAAGAGGAAGGGTGTTCAGAACTCAGTGTAGAAACCACTGAAAAACTGAATAAGGCTAAAAAATAAAAACAAAATATAAGCAGGGCACTGCAGAGAAGCCAATCCAGGTCACTGCACGGTGTTCCTGTTACCACTTCTATACATTTATAGTTTCAGATGCCAGAATAAAAATGTAGTGTGAGGCTTCAAAATAAAGGACTGAGATGATGCAAGGCCATGGCTTAACAGCATAGGCTTTAAATCTGCAAATAAAGCAATAATGCAAGCAACACAGGGCAAATTAATTGTGCAAAAAGGGCAGGAGAAGCTTTGTAAAGCAGGGAATGTTATGGCACTGCTCTGGGAAAAGCCTGGATCACTCAGCCCTAGGAACTCTAAGACTGGCTCCATATTAAAGAGATTTTTACCTCCCACTTCATGTTAGTGAGGCACTTCCTAAAATGATACCCTCAAATGTGTTTGTAAAGGACACAGCATGGATTTATTTATATAAACAAATATAAGTAGGCTAGGGAATTGTATTTTTTAAGATTCTTTTTCCTCATGGATTTTTAGGCCATGCAGTTACCTTCAGGCTAACTTGGGTAGTATTTTTGATTGGTTTGGGTTGGTTTTTTTTAGATTAAGAACATCTCAGTGCCACCAGCAAAGCCATCTGGAGACAGATGGTTGAAAGTACTGGTAAAGCAATACAAAAGCTTTTAAATCAACGAGTGACCAACTTGAAATGAAACCAGGAGAAGGAAAAAAAGACATTTTTGATGGTGTTTGAAGAGTAGAGTAACTGTGGGTAGCAGTGATTTGGATTAGTAAGTGGCAATAGATAGATTGTCTTACTGCTGCCTAAGGGACTTAAGTGTGCAGTACCAGTTATATATGTGATGTTTAGTAAAATTATCCTGCCACTCACACACCCCACCGAGCCAGCAGTGTGTGCACCCAGCACAGACATTCCCTTTGCTGACAACGCCAGCCCCACATTTCCCCAAAAATCACATTTCAGCTCCCATTCATTACAGAAAAGCTTGGCAGACCACAGGAACCAAACCAAATGAACAGCACTGCAGGGGGTTTAATCACCACAGGTACCTGGAGCTTAAAGTAGCGGCTAAAAATGACAAAACACTTGGATTTTACCAGGAATTTGGGTGTGATCTGGAGCGCGGATTGACCAGCAGCCCCTAAATTCATCTGAGCCACCTGCCAGTGACACGGAGAAACACGAACGAGCCCTTACCACGGGTGTTAGCGAGAGCCAAGGAGTGACTTACTCTGTGCCCAGCCTGATTGGAATGAAGGAGTTGATTGCAGGGGATGAGAAACAGGGCGGAACATGATCAATGTTAAACGAGAGGAAGCAACAGAAGAGAAAACACAGCCAAATGAACGGGCAAATAATAATTAATGAATTGTCGATGTTATGAAAGAAGCGTTAAATAATAATAAACAAAAAAAAAAACAAACAAAAACAAACAAAAAAAAGCTATTACGGTAAAATTAATACAAATTATAAACGGGGCTCCTACAGTCAGGGCCCGGCCCTCACCCCCTGGGGGCCTCGCCTCAGCTGGGGACCGCCCTCCCGCCCGCTCTCCCCCGGCCCGGTCGCGTCGGGCCCGGCTCCTGCGGCCGTGCAGGGGGTTCCGGTGTGTCGGGGGTCCCGGGGTGTCCCGGGTGAG